ATACATATATTTGTCTACTTCTTATTATATTGTATTCTTCATTTCGAATACTGCTCTGGCTATACGGGTGACGAAGAGGCTATTACAGTCTCAAAGCTTTTTTCGTACACCAGTGAATCCTCCCTTGTGTTCCTTGGGTAAGGAGCGGATCTCCGGGGCAGTACGAACCGGAGCTATCTTCTAGGTAAAGGAGTTGATGTACCTGCGAATCTTCAGGGCAATACGAACTGGAGAGACCCCGGGGCATCAGCGACTTACCGCACTCAACAGGAGCAAAAGAGAGTCAATAAATTCTTATAAAGTAATATCGTGATACCACGGGGCATTGTGTACCACGAGTCAGGGGCATTACGAGCCTGATTACGTCCCTATACACTCCCTTTGAGGTATCTTGTAGTTTGAATTGGGGGCAATACGAATCCAACTTCGTACCTATGGGTCCTTATTGCTTCCCATTCCTTTTAAAGGTGAATCCATAAATACTAACACACATATGACGTCACGTGCAAGAACCTAAAGTAATATTGATTCAACTTACATGAAGTACATTTCTATATAATCACGACCCTTACAACATATCTTTCAAATAATTTCTAATTTTAATTTTATAAATAGAGATAAAATTAAACGTAACCCATCTTTTGGCTGTATTTATTATTGTACAAAAAGTTTACGAATAATTTATATAATTCTGGGGAACAAATAAGAGTTAGAATTTTTTTTATAAATACAACAATCTTGCGTGAGTGAAATCGTTCCAACTGTTTTGGAATATGATAGTAGAATAAACTTAAAAAAAGTTTCATAAAAAGACACATTATTACGAAACTATAGGTAGAAAGTCTTGGTTATACACGTTTTGGCTTTATAATCTCTTTATAAATGGAGGTAATTCAACAATTGAGGAACATATAAGAAATAATGTTAAGAAGATACACTTGAAGTATGCAATGTACGTGTAGGCTCAATCATTTAAAGTTTCATCGAATGACAAGTTAGTTAAATAGATTTTATAAGCTTTTTTATCGATTTTTGAAACAACGTATTTTGTACATATTGTTGAGTTTGGCTACTTATTGGTCTGTGGGGCGATACTTGTAACACCCCTTTATGGCTGTGGATTTTTTACGATTCTTCTGACTGCCCTGCCATTGATCCTTATGTTATTTCATGGGAGTATGCTCACTATCACTCGAAATATCTGTAAAATAAAAAATTGTTTTATAATTTATGTGTAGAAAATTGTATTTCTGTAATAAAAATGTAAGAATAAAATTTATTAGTTACCAGCAGATATTTAATAGGTTTTGGTCACTTTAAAGAAGCCCGCTGTTGATTCGGCTAGCTTTTTCTTCCTGGGTTGACATCCCAGTTCAATCCACATTTTCTACGTATTTTATGAAGACAAGTTTAAACATATCTGTTAATTTATAAATTTTGATGCAAAAAGTAGATAATAGGTCCATCCATACAAATTTTTTCACACCTACAGAAAAAAACTATTCAGCATAGTTTTTCTACGAGCATGAAAAATAAAAATGTTGTCAAACTATTAACATATTACTAACTAATTTTGCCGTACGTTGGGTGAATATCTTTTAGTAATTTATTATCCATCGTATTGACTTGTTGACACACACTCCATTACAACTTAATTGTTGACTGAACTGTGATTAAGATATAGCGAATATAAAGCAACCGTATCAACGTAATTGAGGTATACACTAAACATCACCTACAATACACCTATAAACTCATTAACCAAATATGCTGGGGTCTGATCATGATAGCGTTTTGACTTTAAAATGCACAAAAATGAACAAATCAACTAATGTACGGGATTTTTAGCCTACCGTCTTCTCCTACATTATTTGTCTTAGCAAATGTGTTTGTTAGTCGTACTATGATGTGAAATTCCTTATCTTGATGAGACCTCTGGTAGGTCATCATTGAACTACTTATTTATAAAAAGCACTATTTTTCGATACAAGATTTGCGTATCATGCAAAATGAGCAAACAATCTCATACGAACTAGTCAGCATTGATGCTTTTTCTTGCAAATTAAAAGTAGTGTAATAGAAAAAAATTTCAGAAACATTAAAATTAGCCTCGAAAAATGTAAGTGCTCCTATAACCAAACACTTAAGCACCTTAAGGAATTTTAAGTCGAATGATTTAAAATATAATGATATTTAATCAATTTTTTTTAAATCCTTCGATGATCTGGGACGTTATGTAGTGATTGTTACTTTAATTAATATTAATTAGGTACTCAGTTTACAAAGATAGATGATAAGTTACTCATATACTGTTCCCTGCACTTATGATATAAATTAACAAATAAGAATGAAGGCTCTCCTGAGTTCAAATTTTTCATAATGTCAAATATACCTAAACTCAAACATGCTTTCGCGTGTAAGAGGATTTCGTTATTATAAATGAAACTAGTAAATAATTATAATTAGTTCGTAACATGCACTACATATATTGAAGGAGAACTAATAACATAGAATAACACTGCCATTTGTGAATAAAAGTACGTCTTTCCTAAAAAACTAGAGGTTATTGCATAGCTAAATACCATAAGTTCTAGCAATTTGATAGTTATAAATAAACATCTACGATATTAACAAAAAAAAAAATTTTGAACATGACTTTTTCTTTACGATTGAATAATACATCAGATTATACCTCATATTTTTTTTCATAAGAGTATAATAAAAATCTATATTAGCCTTAAGTTGTTATTAAGAAAGATCTTTCTTAGCAGATCACTTAAGTAAGCCCACACAACTTGGTTGAGTATTAGACAACACTAACCCGAGCATAATTATTAGAGTAGAATATTATTTCATCAATCAACAACAACAAAAACATTTTGCGATTCTACGAAAAAAATTTGAAAGAAATCTTTGTTCTGCAAACATTAATTAATTTTTAGATCATAATTTTTACATGGTATTTTGAGAGTTGAGTACTATTAAGAAACAATTTGAAGTCCCAAAAAAAGACTTTAAACAAAAGTAAAAAGTAAGCCTGTTTCCTGTGCTTACAATACAATAACTAATACACACATTTATTATTAACAAAGTTAACAGTTATTTAATTTAAAAAATCATACTAAAAATGAATCTACTGAAACAGAACTGTTAGCTAATTGAGTCATAAAATCAATAGAAAAATTGACATGTCTTATTCGTTACAGTTTTATCGTAGAAATCTCTATAATAAATCACCATTGTATTTTATTGCGAATACGCAACTACGTTTTTTGTTAAAATAACAAATGTAATAGTCATAAAATTTTAGTAACATAAAAAAAAACAAAAATGTGATGTATCAAATTTTTAAGAAGCAAAGTAATCAGATTAATAAAAAAAAACTAACATGTCTCATTCGTCATGATCTTATCGTACCAAACTAATAACAAAATTAACCATTTCATGATAAACATTTTTATTGAAGTAACAAATATTTAGATTTGTAAGGTTCAAGTGAAAGATACAAATGTTGCAAATATTCTTTTTATCAACACAAATTCAAAAATGCAAACATTTTAGAAAGCTGAATAGAGGAAAAATTAACGCAAGAAGATACAATTTTTTTTTTTTAATAACAGTAGATCTCCATACATATAAAAGGATGTATGTCTGTGTTGGTAGGATGTATTACAGCGAGGTCCAACTTTTGTCTTTTTTAAGTAACGTTTTATTTACTTTTTGAAATATCTATTTGTTCCTATAGCATGATATATTCAAGGGTCATACAACTTTTTAGATAAGTTTCAACACTATGGGTACAAGACTTAATGCGTTGAAATTCAATTCTTCTTATCAACATCAATCTTCATTATTTTAAATAACATAATGCATACATAGACTAGAAAAGTCCCTGATTCTTATTTTACAAAAAATATTATACCTGTTGGCTTAGATTCTTCTTTATTTGGCTCTCTGAAATGTGTGCATTATTTGACTTGTGTTAATAAAAATATTTGCAGTACTTCTACCTTTTAATTAAAATTTATAAATCTACATATTAGTTACGTTGATAAAAAATGTTTGCTATCAAAAGTTTAATTGCATTAATTGTTCATACAATAAAATTGTAATAAATGAGATTTGTAAGTTTTTTTGTCAATTTTATTTTTTGCAAGCCGAAAATTTCGTAGATAACATTCTAGTTTCTTGCTTACTTAAACTTTGTAATTAATATATTTGTTACTTTGGAAAAGAAAACGTAGCTGAATATTTGTCAACAAAATTTATAGTTATTTATTCTTAGAATTTATACAATAAAATTTAAACAACAAAGACATGTCTTAATTTTATGACTTCGTAAGCTGAAAATTCAAATGGTACAGATGAGTATGATTTTTTTATTGCATAACTGTTAACTTTGTAAGTTATTAATATGTTTATTAGTAATTTTAAGCACAGAAAACATACTTTTGACTTTTATCTATGGTAAAAGTTTTGGCATTTCGAAGTATTGTATATTTTGATGTGTACTTCGATAAAAAATACAATATTTTCTTCTCTAAGTGTAGCAACTATTTCGTCTTTGAGTATGTTTTATTAAGTTTTTTTTTAGATACTTGTAATGATAATAAAATAACTGATAATAAAACCGTATCAATATGAGTCACAATTTCTAGAAATACTCATGTTGTAAGTAATATGTTTAGTCAAATTAGTAATTAATCGTAGCCATGATTTGTTATTATTTTTTTTAACAATGCATGCTAATCCAATTCTGTGTGTATGTATTATTTTTTTTGCTTTCTTTATTTATAAGACTTACCACAATCTATTGGTTCTACCTTCAAAAAATTTAAAAAACTTGCGTACATACCACCTGAGGACAGTCAATAATTTTATCAGTGCTCTGATTCTAAGTTCTGTACTGCTACTAAGGTAACCGTAAAAAGCTTTCTGAGACACGTAATTTTTTTAACTAGGATTTAATAAATATCTGTTTAATGTTTGTTGATACTTACCTCCCGATCGTTGGATACAAAAATAATGCCTAAACTAGGCATTGCCCTCAATATAGCAACTAATGACTGAATTGTATTACTGTATACAACAGGTCTGTATTGTTTAAAGTCTTCAGGCGTGAATCCACTCTCATGAATAATCCTGAATTAAGAAAAAAAGTTATTACATTAACTATAAACTATGCATAGCAAAATAATACGTAGTTATCTTAAATTTTTTGCAGTATCAAGAATCATCTTCGAAGAATTAATTTCTTTATTTAATTTAAGAAAGTTGATTACTAACTTTTTATTTTAAAAAATGACTTATTTATTTATTTTTTATACGAAGCTCTGTTCTTGCTCAATATTTAACTTCCTATTGCAAAAATTACTTATTTTTCCGTTACTTTTTTTCTTTTACTGCTAAAGTATACAAAAAAGTACCCATTTATCTAAGCTATATTAGTTATTGTCACTTTTCTCTAGATTTTATAATTCTTATTATCTAAGTATCTTTTTTGCAAAAATTGTATATATTGGCAATCTTTTAACATAAAAATGTATTTCTAGAGATACAATTAATAAATTTTTTAGTTCTTACACTTCTTATCAGCTGTTTTGTCTGATGAAGTTTTTTTCTATCAAAATAATAAGAATTCTAAGAACTACCGATGGAAGCGAAATTCTCGGTTTTATTGAAAGAACAATTTGAGGCAATAATATTACAAGTTAACGTTATCCTCTTTTTTTTAGAATATTAAAAAATTTTTTTTTTTTATAACTGCTATGAGTTGACAATGCAATCTGTTCTGAGCGTTATTAGACATACATGTTTTTTTAACAGCTACCGCAACACGTTATCTCATATCCTATTCGCTATAGTGAGCTTAAGCCATGATTATGTCCACATCAATCTGCTCCTTCTGAATATTTTTCAAATAGAAGTACCTTAGGTAGTATGATGAGTTATTTTAGTATGATGAGTTATTTCAAGAGTTCATCAGGGTGATGTTTTCTGACGATAAGTCAAATATGGTGATTCCATCGCTTAGTGCTATTATTAAATTAATTTTATTACCAATACTCAACAAATAGTGGTTCCGTTCCAGTAAAAAGTGAGTACTAAGATTGGAAGGAACTGCAACTATACATTGGTATAAAAGAAAAGCACCATGAGTATGTGTCTCCTACAAAATACACTACATCATTCGTAGTTCTTATACATTAGCTAAAAGTCCATGATTCTTACATTACTATGAACGTAAATAATTTATTTATTCATTATGGCTACTTTAATAGTTTCAACCATTTTCCCTGAGACGCAATTCATAACCATGTTATTAGTATCCACACTGATGGTAGTTATAAGAGCCGCTGTATCTTGAACTCATGTTTTTATGTGAGTAGAACTTAAACTTATAGCAGTGAAATACTGCGGGCTGTGTATGAGACAGATGGCACAACGAAAATTTTTTCCACTGATACAGAAGCAATGACAACCAAGTAAAAAACTTTAATGCCTCTTAAGTATGCTATGTATGATGTATAAATATACTCGTAGAAGAAAAGTCAGCTTTAGTGATTGAAAATTAAAAAAATTATTTTCTAATCGATATTTAATGAAATGAAATCAAAAAGTTAAATAAATAAAGGAGAAAAAAGTTTTTTGTTTTTCGTTTTTTTTTTTGTTTCAACATCAAAAAACATCTAAAATTTTGAAACTATGTCACTCTCGCAATACAGTCCACTGCAGTCAATATTAAATAACCTTACATCTTTTATAATTAACTAAAATCAAGCATGTAAAAATTGTCAAATCAGCATGTTACATGGCAAGTGTTTTTGGTTGTATACTTGCATTTTTTATGTTGTTCTTAAAACTATTGAACCACTCTTATGTACTTATAATTTATAATTTGTAAATTCATATGAATAACCTTACAATATAAATTTTTAATGAAAGAAAAAAATTTAATAAGAATTTTATTATCATATTACTCACATACGCAATTCTTTTCCATTTACTACTATTCATCCTGAATACAATGTATGATTTATATCGACCTTGTACATAATTGGTGTATCTTCTTCATATTAAAAGTAAATAACAAAACTTGGATAATTACAGTACTTGTATTCCATATAGTAGTTACTAATTTATCTTACGATAACAATGTAGATGCCTTCTTGGTCGACCCGTCAGTTTTCTGTCACGTCTAGTGATGTTCACCCACAGACGGCAAAAAGTACCATATGGCATTCCTCGCCTGGTTGCCACACCTACGAATCAATACGCATGCACGATTGATTGGGTACCTGCTCACCAGCGATTCCCGCCCCCTAACTCCATTCTCGCCAAATTCAACATCTGGCCTAGGCCTGCAGCTGAACCTTTTTTCCAAGAATATATTAATCAAATTTACCTCCACTGCTTGATTCACCACAGGTCTCGATCCCGATTATTAATCTGATTTAGGATATAAATATCACTGCCCTTTGCAGGCTTATTCTGTTTCCTGGAGAAGTGACGGACCAGTAAATAAGTAGGCGGTATTAATTTAGTGAATCATATTTATAACCATTTATTTTAATTTTTCGACTACCTATATCATACTTAAAACATTTGTGACTAAAAAAATTAAGTTTTGCTTATCATTCGAGTGAGCTCTTCTTCTAGTGGTATAAATTATCTTTCGAGATACACAAGGTAATTCAACGGCCTTTGCAGGATAGCTGTTGACGTTGAATCGTTTATTATTTGTAAAGGTCCAGGTACATTACTTGTAATATCTTAATTGCACTGCAACACCGCTAAACATAAATACATTTGCTGTCCACGTGCTGTACGCTACTTTCAAATACTCTCGCGCTAAAGTTACGTTGAAGAGCAATGACGTAACAATTAAGGGATCCTCCTAAAAAATCACTACCTCATAGATATTTACAATTGACAACCGCAACGCTGACGCACTCAAAATTCTACTGACTCGCACAAGCGTAGTTAAACGTACTTTTACAGCAAAAAACTAACCAACCTTATTAAATTGTTTGATTTACTTACAAATGAGACAAAAAAACTGACCCAACACTAAAAATCTTGTAAATACTCCTAAAATCAAAAAAATAGCTGCATCTTTATCAGAAGTAATTGACTCAAAAATCGTCACAAGTGTTTCTCAAAGTATTAATGCTTGACATCTTAAAAGACTTGTTAATGGAAAATATGAATTTTTTTCAAAATAATAACTGCCATTCAGTAAAATAAAGCCTTTGCTGATTTTGACCAAAAAATAAGTAAACTTTGAACAAATGACATAGAAATAACGAAAATTTTTTCAAAATTAAATCTTAAAACCCCACTTAATCCATTCATAAAAGCATCATAGTTCACCAACGAAATTGAAGAAATGAATCACGGATCTCGATTTCTATGAGAAAATAATGCTACCAAATCAGCTGAAAACAGAATTACTAACACTTCAAGCACTGGAACAATACCCAAAATTATTGAAACAACTAAAAACCACAACTCCAACAATTTCACACACAGTAATCACTCCAGTTTTTATAAAAAGTCTACCTCCAGCACCTCTTACCAAACTATAAATAGCTTGTATAACATAAATAATTCAACTTTGGCACCCATTCGCAACCTTTTTATAAAAGACGCAATTGAAATGATACCTATATACAACGGATCAAACATCCCACTCTTCACCATTTTAGATGGCTGCAGAGAAGCATGCCACGTAATTCTCAAAACAAATGAATCTGATTTAGCAAAATTAATTAAAATGTGACTTTTGGGAGTAGCATTACCCTCGATTAAAAATAAGATTTTTGACACTATCGAAGAAGTAGTAATATTTTTTACAAAAATTTTTGGATCCACTAAAACATAGCATCAAATAACGGGCGAACTAGTGGCGTTAAAAGGAAAACCAGAAGAAAGCATTATCTTTTTTTTAATACAGTTAGAGGCACCACTTAAAAATTAACGGAAGCAACTTTCCATGACGGTCGAACACATCAGAAATTCTATACACAACTAGAACAAGACAAAGTTAAATGTTTTATCAGAGAAGTACGCTGGGTACTTGGATCACAAATGGGCCACGCGAATAACCTCAAAACTCCCATAACTCAAGCAATTAAAATTAAAAGACACTTCACATTCTACGAACCCGAACATTTACAAGAAACAGTAAAAATCACAACTAATAGACAAGGTCAAATCGCATAAATAAATTTCATTCAAACTACAAAAAAATGCCAAATTTGTAAAAGCTGAAGGCACACAGCAGAAAATTACTGGTATCTCTATAATACGAGTAAAACCGACTCATGCCAAGCAACGTCCATGTACAACGCTACACCATCCACAACCGAACGTAGTGCAAGCCACTGCCCTACACCATCGTACACGCAGTCACCAAAAAAGGGCGTGTCATGGAGTCAACCATTACATAATAATCTTCAACCTACATATCAACCTTACAATTATGCACCAAACCAATACATACAGTAATAAACTTCAAACTTAATTAATGATGATCGAAATAATAAAAAATTATGCAGCAACTGCAAAAAATTAGGTCACTAAAAAAGTGAGTATAAAAAAAGGCCTACAACGTTGAAATAAAGCAAAAAGAATCGAGAAATGACTCAGATTTTTCCAGAGAAGAAGCTTGGAAGAAACCAGCAATCTAACACTAACATTTTCCTAAAATAGACAAAAGTTAACAAAACTATCTTACTACATATCAAAGCACAAACATCTTCTGTAACAATCTAATTCAGTGTAATCAATCGACCTTTATTGTTTATTTTTGACATCAGTGCAGAGGCTTCACTTATTAAAAACTCTATCATCCCACCCAACATAATTTGTCGAGATACCATTTAGCACATAAAACGCATAACGAATGGAGATATAAAAATCCAAGGATACATTATTCTAAGCTTTTATAAATGGTTCTTTAAATTTCACATCATAACGAATATTTTTCTGTGTAAGCATACGGTATAATAGGAAGCAAGATATTTTCTACTCATCAAGTACAAAATAATTACTGTAAAAATTACTTAAAAACACAAAATTACGCAATACCCATTGAAACCAAAATAAATAACACGAAGCATTCTCAAAAACAACGTGAA